TCTAGGACAATGTGTTTCAACCATGACCATCTTTCCCAGTTGTCTCACTTGGAGAACTGCAAGCCTCAGGGGCAGAGGAACTGCCCACCTGGTCCTGGGCCTTGTAGGTAGACAGAGTACAGGGGGCAGGAGCCAACAATTCACTGTCTTATGAGACACAGTGTGGCTGCTGGCATTTCAGAGTTACCTGAAGAACTCACATACCAGCATGCTGCAAACACTAGGCAACCCTGCTGTGTACACTCACATGCACACACACGACTGTCACCCTCAGAGGCACGGACTGTGTCGTGTTCATCCCGGGATCACCCATGGCAGCCTGCACAGTGAGCTAATAGAAATCCTAGAATAAATTGAGGAGAGAAAGAGAGAGAGGGAGTAGGAGGAGAGAGACCATGCAGGCCTGAGAAAGGAATTTTAGAAGATTCTTAAGAGGAATGGATAAATGGAGCATAGTTTGTTTACAGGATCACTGTGCTCATTCATTCTCTACCCATCCCCACAAGGCAAATGCTTTCATGTATGAATTTTGTATTCCTAAAGTCAGGAGAAATCTTCTGGACTTAAGTACAGAAGAAAGGAACCACTTTGTCCGGGCCCTGGATATGGCAAAGCGCACGGTTCACCCACAGTTTGTCATTGCCACCAGGAGAGCAGAAGAAATATTGGGACCAGATGGCAACACAGCACAATTTGAGAATGTTTCCATTTACAACTACTTTGTCTGGACACACTATTACTCAGTCAAAAACACCTTCCATGGGGCGGGGCAGGAAAGCTTTGGTGAAGTGCATTTCTCTCATGAAGGACCAGCTTTCCTCACGTGGCACAGGTACCAGTTACTGCAGCTGGAGAGAGACATGCAGGTATGCACGAATCTTTTCCATTTGCAGATCCTTTACAGAAGAGGTGCCTTGTCTGTAAGTCATTATAATTAACTGTTTTTTTTTTCAAATGATCAGTTTCTGCGATGACAAAGCAATTCTATATTATCAATCTGCCTTTGACAGTCAGTTTTTTCTCCCTGTACTGATTACTTACTTATTAATCTTTATGTTTTGTGAAATAAAAAGAAAGTAATATCAAAGATGAGAAAGCCAATTAAGACATTTGCAGGTGTGAATTAAAAGTCTGAAAATTTTCTACAGCTCCGTAACTGAAAAAATGATTCTCATGAAGTTTGAAATAAACAGATGCCCCCTCCTGCTCTGGATGACATGACAGTGTTTACACTTCTCAGACTTTCCAGTCCCAAATGTATCCCTCACCATACCAGCTGGTGCTTCTTTCCAATATGATACATGGTTTAAACCATGAAAAACAGT